TCTCTCTCTCTCTCTCTCTCTCTCTCTCTCTCTCTCTCTTTAAAAAAAAGAGAAGAGAGAAAAGATCTGGAAGGTTGGAAGGTTGCAAACTTCATGTAATGATAAGAACATGAAAATATTAATGAGCCTGATTTGATCAGTATATAGTATATACATGTATTGAAATATCATGCTGGGCATCATAAATATGTATACTATGTGTTAATCTAAAATTTTAAAAAATGGGGACTGGGGATGTGGCTCAGTGGTAGATGCTTGCCTAGCATTAGTGAAGACCTGAGTTCAATCCCCAACAACACACACACACACACACACCAAAAATGTAAAAAAAAAAAAAAAATTACAAAATATTTGAGATTGAAATGTTAATCACCCTGATTTTATTATTATGCATTGTATGCATATATTGAATTATCACACTGTTCCCCATAAATATGTACAATTAAATAATAGTAATTAATTTTAAAAAATCTCATCATGGACCAACACTAATGTTTCACTTATAAAAGCTCGTTTTGATATTTATAAAAATGTAGGGAATTAATGATCTCAGAATGCAGTGTAGGGCTTTAATAGGGAAGAAAAATACTCAAAGGACCCAAATGTATGGTAGAGTAAAATAAGTGCTTAGAGAGGCAAAGAACAGGACAATTAGCAGCTACATAACATATTTAATTACATGGCACTTAACTTTTTTTTAAAAAATGGATTGGTAAAAAAACAAACAAAAAACCAGTCCCTTCACTGGGATCAACACTGGTCAGCAGAAGAGCATTTGGAATCCAGGCCTATAGGGCAAAGTTCACCACTCAGCTGTCTGGATATCCCAGACCTATGCTTTTCTGCCTCCAAAGCCTGTTCTGTATACTCGAAATGCTGTCCCAGCCAGAAGACCTCTTTTCCAGAGTGTACTCTATGGATCCATTAAGGCCCATTTCAAATGTATCTTCTCCCTGAACCTTTTCCTTATCCTTCATCAATTCTTGCTTTAATTTTTCACTCCCTTCCTTGAATTTCTTTAGCACTTTCTCTACCTTCCTAAGCTTATTGAGACTTGATCCCATTTTGTAGCATGAAAATTTCCATATTACAGGGAAGAACTCAATATTTTATAAATTTTCCCTACAATAACATGTATAGGCAGTCAATTATAAGAATATTTAAGGAACACTAATGGGTCACCTATTTTTACTATCTTTTGTGTAGGGAGCCTGACTCTTAGGGCTGGCAATAGTATTCTCCCCCAAACTTGTATCTGCCAATTTTATTTAATAAGACTATAAAACTGAAAGAAATAATTGAGGTAGCATAAACTACAATTAGTATGAGTCTTTTCAAATGAATTTATATAAAACCCTACATGGTACCCCAGAATTGAGTTAAATCTATTTCTTTGTCTCTCTCTCTCATTTTTTTTTTAACTGGGAATTGAACTCAGGGGTACTCAACCACTGAGCCACATGCCCAGTCCTATTTTTTTTATTTTATTTAGTGTCAGGGTCTCACTAAATTGCTTAGTACTTTACTATTGTTGAGGCTGGCTTTGAAGTCACAATTCTCCTGTTTTAGCCTCCCAAGCCGCTGGGATTACAGGTGTACACCACCTTGCCTGGCTTAAAATCTATTTCTTTTCTTTTTTTTTCCCCTAAAGGTCATTTATTGTAAAACCATAAGTACAACTGACATGAATTCATTTACGCAACTGATCCTCTCTAACCATGAAAAGGATGTTTTGCCTTGGAATCAACCCCAGGAAGAACGTGGTGAGAATTCAGGGTTGGGGGACGTACTGAATCCTGGGCTGGGGCTTTTGGTGACTTAAGGAACCCGATGGTACCTTCCTCTTCTCCCTGGGAATGTTCCACTTTCAGATGAGAATAGACAGGTAAAAACAGCAACATTTAAACAGCTCAGTTTTAAATATTATTACTTAGTAAAAATCTTTTCTTTTTTTTCCTAGGTTGGAAAAAGTAAAGCTAATATAACTGGGTGGTATTCAATGCCCCACATCAAATGATAAGTAATAGCTGTCTACACAATTATGTCAGTTATATTCTCATAGCAATCAGATTTCTTTTTTTCTTAGTACTAGGGATTGAACCCAGGGGTGCTCCATCACTGATCACCCAGCCCTTTTCATTTTTTACTTTGAGACAGAGTCTTGCTAAGTTACCCAGGCTGGTCTCGAACTTGTAGTCCTCCTGCCTCAACCTTCCGAGTCATTGGGATTACATAAGCATGCACCATCACACTGGGCCAGCAATCATTTTTCATGGCTACTACCTTTATTCCAGGCAAGAGGTCAATAAACCAGATAGTGGGCAAACTTTTTCTTCAAAAGGACAGACAAAATAAATATTTTAGGCTTTTTGGGCCATATCAATCTCTGTTGTAGCTATTCAATTTTGCCAGTGTAGTGGGATAGTAACTGTGGACAATAAACAGATGAACATGGTTACGTTCCAATTTCAAAAAGCTAACAGCAGGCTAGATTTGTCCCTTGGACAATAGTATGCCTTTCAATTGAGGCAGCAATAATTTAAAATCAGGATCAAACTAGAGGTTTTTAAAGAAGGAAAGTGCTGGCAAGGATCCAAGAAACTTTTTTTTGTGTGTATGTGTACCAGGGATTGAACTCAGTGACGCTCAACCACTGAGCCACATCTCCATTCCTCCTTTGTATTTTATTTAGAAACAGGGTCTCACTGAGTTGCTTAGAGCCTTGCTTTTCACTGAGGCTGCCTTTGAACTCCTGATCCTCCTGCCTTATCCTCCCCTACCACTGGGATTGCAGGTGTGTGCCACCACGCTGGGCTCTGGCTTGAAACTTTTTTTCTGCAGTGCTGAGGATAAACCCAGGGCCTCATACAAGCTAGGCAAGCACTCTACCACTAAACTACACCCCAGCCTGACCTGTAATTCTTTTTTTTTTTGTACTAGGGATTGAACCCAGGGGCAATCAACCACTGAGCCACATCCCTAGCCCCCTTTTTTAAAAAATTTTTATTCAGAGACAGGGTCTCACTGAGATGCTTAGAGCCTGGCTAAGTTGCTTAGGCTAAACTCGTGATCCTCCTGCCTCAGCCTCCTGAGCTGCTGGGATTACATGAGTGTGCCACTATACCTAGCCTGACCTCTAATTCTTTTAATAAGGGTCAGAGAAAAAAAGGAAAAAAAACACAACATCTTTAAATATAGTTATTGACACCAGTAATAAGTCAGCCAACTATACAGAACCAAGAGGTTCAAAACTTTTGACACTGGTATTTTTTTTCAATATCTTTATTTTATTTATTTATTTATTTATTTATGTGGTGCTGAGGATTGAACCCAGTGACTCACACATGCAAGGCAAGTGCTCAACCACTGAGCTACAACCCCAACCCCTTGACACTGGTATTTTTATTAATACAAGATGTTCATCACAAAACAGTGTGGGAACTGCACTGTGTTAAATAACTGACATTTAAGAAATTTAATTCTGCAAATTCTGTTGCAAGAGAGAGAGTCTTTACATACAGGAAACATCAAGCACAGTTAGAAAATTACTTGAAAGAGGTATAACAGGGCTGGGATTGTGGCTCAGCGGTAGAGTGCTCCCCTAGCATGGGTGGGACCCGGGTTCTATCCTCAGCACCACATAAAAATAAAGGCATTGTGTTGTGTCCATCTACACCTAAAAAATAAATAAATAAACATTTAAAAAAAGCTGTGCCCTCAAAGTGCATTGATAAGTCCACTGTCTAAAAAAAAAAAAGAGGTATAACAATATTTAGCAAAATATGGACCACATGCTTTACTGCCAAGTATAGTTTAGAAAGGGTAGGACAACCAAGTATTAGAGGCCTAAGTAATGGAATGAGAAAAATAAGCAGTATACATATTGCAATTGCAAAGAAGTGAAAATGATTTCAACTCAGACTCAGTGTAATCTTACTCTAAATTGTTGTTCAGAATAATTTCTCTGACTATACCCTAATCTTGCAACAATAGCACAAAATATGCCTTCAGATCATTTGGGCAAGTTCCTGACATCAGGCATGACATTCATCATTCCTATAACTTCTGAGTCACTGGAGCTAATCCACTTTACAGTTTCCATATCTTTAACTCCCACTAGATAAATACACAATTTATACTCACTTTTCTGTACAAATTTTACTTCATGCATCAGGATCTTAAGCTGGAGAATTCAACTCTGTAACTGTGCTCTAATGATTTTTAAAACTGTCAATCCTTTGCACAACAAAGTAGGAAGGGATAACTGAGATCTTTCTTAGATTCCAGGACTCTGTGGATTAGGCAACAGGGTCTAATGCATTCTCTCCCTGGAATGTTTAATACATTAAACTGGATCCACATGTTCCTTCAAGCATATATCCTTCATTATCATTTGCAACCTGCTTCTTTTCATAAAGCTTTCCAATAAAACCAACATTCTTAGGCTAGGGATGTAGCTCGGTAGTAGAGCACTTGCCTATCATGTATATGTAAGGCCCTGGGTTCATCCTCAGCATCACAAAAAAAGGTAGGGGGGAACAATACTCTCCTCACTGCTCTATTCTACTAGCAGGGTGGGTCCCCTAACAATTCCTTTGATAATACAATAGGAAGTGTCCACCTACAACTAAAAAAAACAAACAATTTTTTAAAAAAATGTTACTGTTCTCGCTGGGTGTGGTGGTGCACACAAAATCCTAGCGGCTGGGGAGGCCGAGACAGGAGGATGATGAGTTCAAAGCCAGTCTCAGCAACAGCGAGGTACTAAGCAACTCAGTGAGACCTGTCTCTAAATAAAATACAAAATAGGGCTGGGGTTGTAGCTCAGTGGTTGAGTGCCCCCGAGTTCAATCCCTGGTACCAAAAAAAAAAAAAAAAAAGTTCCTGTTCTCCATACAACATGCAGAGCCACTGACTTTACTTTAAAAAAAAATTAATTGGGGGGGGTACTAAGGATTAAATCCAGAGGCACTTAACCACTGAGACACATCACCCACCCTTTTAATATTTTATTTGGAGACAGGGTCTCACTGAGTTGCTTAGGGCCTTGCTAAGTTGCTGAGGCTGGCTTTGAACTTACATCTCCCTGCCTCAGCCTCCTGAGCCACTGGGATTACAGGCATGCACCACCACACCAGGCTGGTAATGTATTATTTTTTGGTCAATTTTAGCTTTATTTTGTGACAATATGTTCTCCCCTGCCTCAAATCACTAGAGAGCTGCATTTCATTAGAGCTAATCAGCTTAGATATTGATTAGTAGTACAGAATTCATTAGTTTAGGAGCCAGGAGATACAGGTTCATAGTACTGGCTCTGTCACTATGGCATTTTCAAGAGATATGAGTCTCATGTGTTCAACAAGGAGGATTGATCTTGTCTTTCAGTTTTTGTTGTGTATATTACAACTATCAGGTAGTATGACACTATAAAAAGTGAGGAGCAGCCGAGTGTGGTGGTATATGGCTATAATTTCAGCAACTTGGGAGGCTGAGGCAGGAGGATTGCAAGTTCCTTGCCAGCTTCAATAACTTAGTGAGACCCTTTCTTTTTTTTTAAAGATAATTTTTGTAATATTAATTTTTTAAGTTGTAGTTGGACACAATACCTTTATTTCATTCGTTTTTATGTGATGCTGAGGATCAAACCCAGGGCCCCGTGCATGCTAGGCGAGCACTTTACTGCTGAGCCACAATCCCAGCCTGAGACCCTTTCTTAAAATAAAAAATAAAAAGGGTTGAGAAGCCAGGCATGGCACCACATGCCTGTAATCCCAGTGGCTCAGCTTGAGTCTGAGGCAGGAGGATCGCAAGTTCAAAGCCAGCCTCAGCAATTTAGCAAGGCTGTAAGCAACCTAGAGAGACCCTATCTCAAAATAAAATACAGAGGCTGGGGGTGTGGCTTAGTGGTAGAGTGCTCTCCACCTAGCATGTGTGAGGTACTGGGTTCAATCCTCAGCACCACATAAAAATAAATAAAGGTGCTGGGAGAGGTGGTGCATGCCTGTAATCCTAGTGGCTCAGGAGGCTGAGGTAGGAGGACTGTGAGTTCAAAGCCAGCCTCAGCAACAGTGAGGTGCTAAGCAACTCAGTGAGACCCTGTCTCTAAATAAAATACAAAACATAGGGCTGGGGATGTGGCTCAGTGGTTAAGTTCCCTTGGGTTCAATTCCTAGTACCAAAAAAAGTGGGGAGGGCTGGGGATGTAGCTCAGAGTTAGAGTGCCCTTGGGTTTAATCTCTAGTACCAGGGCTTGGGGGTGAGCAGCAAAGCTAATAACATATCGTGAATGTACTTTTCAGACTTACAGAATCTAGAAAATCTAATGATACTGGGATATGTGATCCAAGATCTCTTTCTCTCTCTCTCTTTTTTTCCAGTGCTAAGTATAGAAGCCAGGGCCTCACACATGCTAGGCAAATGCTGTACCAGTAAGTTATGTTCTCACTCAAAAAATCTCATTTAAAAACGTATTTGAGGGCTGGGGCTGAAGTTCCGTGGCAGAGCACTTTCCTAGCATGCATGAGAACCTTTAGTAATGCCAGACCTTCAGATATGTGCAAGAAATAGTTAACTATCATTGAATGCAGTGTTTCTAATTCTTTTTTTCATTGTCTGGCCTCCAACGAGCCTCTTTAGATATTTTTTCCCCTAATAACTCCTCTTCCACCAAATTTTCACACCACAGATATATATGTGTGCTTTGTACATAAAAATAACAAAACTTTTCCACACACACACCCCTCCCTAGAATCAGTTTTCCTTCTCCTTTGGGGGAATATTATCCACTAAAAATGTGTAATTTAGGAGACTGAACTTCTATAGTACCTAAACTCTATGTTCAAATAAAAACTAGGTGTAGAAAGGTCCAAGTTTATTTGCCTGACAACCATTTTCATCTAGAGTGTGTAAGAGGTGAAGGTCAGAGGTGACAGAGCAGTTGAGAATAAGAAAAAATAGTCCTGACAGGAGATGTGAAATCAGGGAGGGGTTGGGGAGGGTGTTGTTTCTTCAAAGGAGTGGGTAAGAGATGGGCTGAAATTGGAAAAAAGTGGTGCTCCATCCTGATTGATTGCTGCTTTCTAGTCCAGGTGGATTGTCAGCAGAGGATGTTTAGGTTTAGATGTGTGTCAACCTCAGGGTGGGGCGTGTACTCTCCCTCTGGTCAGGGTATTCCACACCTGCCCCTACTCCACCAGGCTGAGGGTGGGATCTCCAGACACCAGAGACAAGGGAGATACCTGCAGAACTTCCATAAATACAAGGAAGGGAATGCTATAGGAAGTCACTTTTGTCCAACATCTCCCCAATGCCCGCTTGCCTCTTCCAGTATCTCAACCCTGCTCACCCAAATCCATTGATCAAAGGGACGCTGTTGGCTATTCTTAGGGCATTGCCATCTGAGGTGGTGGAATTCGGCGGCAGCTCCAAGTCTACTTCCATTTTCTCCTGTGCCATGCCCATGTCAAGGATGAAACCACTGCTTAGTTCGAAGTTCTCAATGCTTTCTGGTTTCCGTTCATATAAGGACAAGCCACCTATGATATGTAAGGAGAGAGGCAAAGGGAAAAAAAAAATAAAGGAGGAAGCTCTTAGACGATTAGGAGTGTTCACCTTTGTAGCCCAAACTTCACTAACACCAGTGGGCACAAAGTTTGACAGAACTGGCTCCAAACTTCCTTACCCCTATCATCGGCCCCTAACGCAGAAAAGGTCTCCCACCTGCAAGTCTATAATACAAAATGAGGCATTTATCTCAGTCACCGCTGAGATCCCTTCTCCTTTATCTTTGTTAGGCGACACAAGCTCAGCTAAGCCTTCCCAGCCAAAACAAAAACTACAATTTGCCGCCTTCCGGAGTCGATTTAGTCCCGCCCCTTCCCGCATGCGCCCTGCATCTGACCAGATGACGCTTGCTTATACGCAATTAACGTCACTCCAGGTGCCTTTGTCACCCTTAACAGGAGCTCATTTGCAATCGAGGAACCGCCTTTTTCCCAGTGCCAGTTCCCACTGCCAGTTCCCACTGCTCTTGCTGCTGAGGATTTGCAATGGATGTTCCTCTGTTACTATGCAAATCCCGCCACGGTTTCTTTAATCTTTACTTAAGAAAGATAATTGGGAGGAGTGTTTTGCATGGGAGCGCCTTCCAGTCTGCCCTGTCTAATGCTCAATTTTCTGTTTTGGCTAGCCTAACTCCTTATGTTTTCCATCCTGTAACAGCAGACACACTACACCTTTGGAATCTTAAAAAAGCTAAAGTTTGAAACGAAAGTCAACGAAGTGTGTAGGGTCTCAATAAAACGATTACCTCATTGAACCTATTGTGCAGATTGGTTCTGCAATTGTGTAGAATCAAGTTTTCAATGTGGTTTCATTTTTACCATAATCGTAATGTGTGTATTTTTCTATGGGATAAATTTTGACTTCTCATAATTAGTCATCTAAGAAATAAAGACTTCAGCTAACTTACAAAGATTTAAGTTAAAGCAGTGAGGCTTATTTTCTTAAAACATATCTCAGAATCCATTCAAATCAGCCTTTCCATTTTAAAGAATTGCTGCTTTTGAATTTTAACACCAGTTAATTAGCCATATTGAGTACTGAAATCTTAATTTCACACGAATATTATAAAACCACACATTTTAGGAACCACATAGAGAAGTGGCAGAGAAGGTAAAATGAGCTTAATGATATCAGACTTATTAATTAGTCATAATATTGGTATAGCACTTTTCATCTTATCAAATGTTTTCACATACTTATATTAATTGGTTCAATCATCAACCCTGCACAGGTAATCAGTAGTAAACTTAAAATAATGCAATTGCCTTGAAACCATTCATGACAAGTTATGACATGTAAGATGATAATCATTTATTCTTCTTTCATTCTGGGAATGGAATTTTAAAAGTTTGATCATATTATGCACAATTAGACTACCTAAATCCCAGACATGAGGATGATTTGGATTCTCCATCCCTGATGTAAGACAGGTCAATAACAGCTACCATTCATTGGGCACTTATGTGCCTGATGCTGTCCTAATCATGTTAAATATATGATCATACTTAATGCTTACAATAATTCTGTGAGGTAGGCACCATCACAATGCCCGTTTTTCCTTTCTTTATTTTATTTTATTTTTGGTATGGGGGTTGAACTCAGGGGCACTCAACCATTGACCAGAGTTGCTTAGCGCCTCGCTTTTGCTGAAGCTCGCTTTGAACTCACAATCCTCCTGCCTCAGCCTCCCAGGCAAGTGCCACAGCGCCCAGCACAATGCCCATTTTTCAAAGTAGGAAACCAAAGCCCAGAAGGGCTACTTGAAATAGCTACGAAATGACAAAGTCAAGATTCCTCTGACTTTCTGTTTAAATAAAAAGATAGATGAGGTGTTCCTGAATATTTCCCTGGACACTATTTCTGTACTCATAAGCACTTCATAAATATTTATTAAATTACTTTATGAATAAATGCAGGTTTAAATAAACTGCCATTCATAGCCATCTTATAAATTAGATAAACTATTTCTATTTTACAGGTCATAAAATTCCAAAAAGATGAACGGCACATCATTAGGTAGCAGCAGAGTCCAGACTACTACCAAGGTAAGAAAGCCACTGTTAAAATTCCCAGGGTACTTGGAGAGTTTACAAAAGATGGTGGCTAAAGCTGAGTAAATTCAGAGTGAAGGCAAAAAGCAATGGTTAAAGAGAAAACAGAGGGGCTGGGGATATAGCTTAGTTGGTAGAGTACCTGCCTCCTAGGCATAAGACCGATGGGTTCAATCCCCAGTTTTGGGATAAAAATAAAAAAGTCCAAACCAAACTGAATAACAGAAAAAAATGGAGCAACTTGTGAATAAGTGGCTCTTACCTCTGTTCTTCTGTTTATTTTACTATTCAGTTTGTTAATAATATGATTTAATGAAAATATTTTGAAAGAAGAGACAAAATTTAATTTTTAAAAATTTAAGTCCACCTTTCAGACACAAATGAATTTGCTGTAATTTGTAAATGTAAAAATGGATGGCTCTTTCCATTATTATCTCTAAATATAAGAGGTTGATATAATCTAAGCTTTTTATCCACATGCAATATTACTTATATTCTTTAATAAAATTATTTTCTTTAAAAAAATTTAAGTACGATTACACAAAGAGGATAGGTATAATAAAATGACAAAAAGCAAGTAACAGACTAAAGTTTCTAGAAAAGATATGAAATGACTAAACATTTGAGATGGCAATATGTTTCCAGCTATTATCAAAAAGGAGAAAATCTCTTATTATAGAAAAGCTATACCTCAGGAACCCAAAATCTGTGAATATATAGACAGGACCCATATAGTATATTCACAGGTTGTAATATCAAAAGGAACAAGTAGTATAGAACCAGAAAGAATTCTGTATGTTATAATGACAAACACAACATTTAAAGGAGTTATTTGGTGCTGGGCATAGTGGCACAAGCCTGTGATCCTAGCAGCTCTGGAGACTGAGACAGGAGGATTGCAAGTTCAAAGCCAGCCTCAGCAATGACGAGGCACTAAGCAATTCAGTGAGACCCTGTCTCTAAATAAAATACAAAATAGGGCTAGGGATGTGGCTTAGTGGTTGAGTGCTCCTGAGTTTAATCCCCAGTACCCCGCCAAAAAAGAAAGGAGTTATTTGTACTCCTCCCCATTTCCACCTATACACATTATTATAACCAACCTGGCTGTATTTCTTGATCAGCTCTTTTTGTTCCATAGCAATAGTCCATGCCCACAGACCACTGGTTTGCTTAGATCTATATCTTAAAACTTAGGCTACTCCTTTTTTTGTATGTCCCAGTCTGCTGCCACCTGTTCAAGGTCTCTTACCTATAAAGATGTCACAAATATGTCATAATCAACTCTTTATTTTACCAGTTGTCATGGCAACTTTAAAGTTTCCTTTCAACCTGGAGTTGCCACAAGAGAAAGTCAAATACAAGTTGAACATCAAGCCAAAAGAACACCTCAAACCTCCCAAAAGATTTATTTGAAATGCAAAATAAATTTGGCAGGCAATCATGATGTGAATCAAACCCGGAAATGATGGCCAAATTAACACCCTTCATCTCATATGTTCTTTTTTTTTTTTTTAGTTGTGGATTAGTTTTTTAATTAATTAATTTTTAAAATTAATTAATTTTTAGTTTATTTATTTATATGTGGTGCTGAGGGTCTAACCCAGTGCCTCACACATGCTAGATAAGCACTCTACCACTAAGCTATCACATATGTTTTTGAGCTTCCCCTACACTAGGAAGCTCCTGAAAGTTAGGGATTCAACTAAATTATCTGACTTTAAGGAGTTAGGGATTGTATATGGTCAACAAATGATTCTTTGTTAGCTGTCCAAGGTGGTACAGTCCTTTAATCCCAGGGGCTCCTGAGGCTGAGGCTAGCCTCAGCAGTGGGTGAGGTGCTAAGGAATTCAGTGAGACCCCCATCTCTAAATAAAATACAAAAAACAAAATAGGGCTGGGGCTATAGCTCAGTGGCAAAGTACTTGCCTGGCATGCATGAAGCACTGGGTTCAATCCTCAGCACCACATAAAAATTAACAAATAAAGGCATTCTGTCCATCTACAACTACAAAAAAACATTAAAAAAAACTATTACAGGGCTGAGGCTGTGGCTCAGTGGTAGAGCACTTTCTTTGCAAGTGTGAAGCACTAGGTTCGATCCTAGCACCACAAACAAACAAACAAACAAAAAACCCAAAGGCATTTTGTCTGTATACAACTTAAAAAAACAACAACAACAACAACATAAAACAACCCTATTACAAGCCAGGTGTGCTGGTGTACACCTGTAATCTCAGTAGCTCAGGAGGCAGGAGGATCAGGAGTTCAAAGCTAGCCTCAGCAATAGCAAGGCACTAAGCAACTCAGTGAGACCCTGTCTCTATAAATAAAATACAAAATAGGGGTCTGGGGTTTACCTCAGTGGTAGAGCGCTTGCCTCACACATGTGAAGCTCAGTTCGATCCTAAGTACCACATTAAAATAAATAAAGCTATTGTGTCCATATTTTTTAAAAAAATTAAAAATAATAAAATACAAAATAGGGCTGGTGATGTGGGTCAGTGGTCAAGTGCCCCTAAGTTCAATCCCTGGTACACCCCCCCACCCCGCCAAAAAAAAAAAAAAAACCTATTTACAGCCCAGCATGGTAGCACACTCCTGTATTCCCAGGAGCTGCTCAGGCCAAGGCCTGAGGATCACAAACTGAAAGCTCAGCAATTTAGCAAGGTCCTAAGCAACTCAGGGAAGGCAAGGTTAATATGGGACAACTGAAATGAAGAGTCAGGGAAAATTACTTTTGCTAAATTTTGAAACTAATTTCATAACTATTTTATGTCCTGTATTTTCTAGGTATGTATGATTAACACAATGCAATGGCCTTCTCACTCCCAGAGCCATTCTAGTGGTGAGGATTAAGTGAGAAAATATTTCTACAGCTGTTACAGTACAGAACTGTCTAGCACAGAGTAAGTGCTACATAGGTGTTACATAGGTGTTTGATAATTAATAAAGAAAAATTCCAGCACTCACACACTCGAGTTATGATTGTTAGGATTTTCGTATGCTTTACGAAGAAAAAAATTTTTTTCTATGTACATACAAATGGATGATCTAAAATATAAATCATCCCCTTCAGACAAGACCAAAAAAATCAAGGGATTTAAGAAATGAGCGGGAATCCCAGAGGTCGGAGTGTATAAATTGGGGACTAAATCTCGTGTCTCCCAGTTTCCCTTGAATATTGGTTCAAACTCCTGAAAGCTGCCGCTCCAGCATCTTCTAACTATTGGCTCTTTTCGAAATAGGGCGCCAGGGTCCCGCGGCCAATGCCATTGAGCAAGACGCCGGGCCCCCTGGAAACGCTCCTCCCTTTTAAAGGAGGGTCGAGGGGCGGGGCTGTCACGCATGCTCCGTGCCCGCGGGCCCATTGGAGAGGCCGCCGGGCGCGTGCGCAGGACCCGATGGGTTCCCGGACGCGGAAGAACTGGCCCCGCTGAGGCTCCCGCTTCCGAAGCGTGGGAGGCAGAAGAGACTGCAGGTTGTAGATTTTGGTCTTGGCCCCATCGGGTTCCCCCCGGGCCATTAGAACCCAAGAGAGGAAGAGGAGGCCCTGCGGCGGCGGCAGAGGGATCGAACCCCCAACCAGTCCTCGAGGCGGGAGGGGGGCAGGGACGGGCGAAGCTTCGATCTCAGGGCTGAGGAGCCTCCAGGGCTGTGTCCGGAGCATGGGGGGCTGGACCAAGTCCCCGAGTATGGGGAGCTGGAGCTACCGAAGTCTCCCTGCCAGGCCCTGCCCAACTGACAGGTCCTCGGTGTTACCGCTGCCCGGGCAACCGCGGCACCTGTAGCCAAGCCCCGCTGGTGGTCCTCAGCGGGAAAGATAGCAGCATGAGTTCCGCCGCTGCCTAGTTTCCTCCCCCTCCTTCTCGTCTTCCTCTGTGTCCCTTCCTCTCTCCTGTTTCCCACACCTCATCCTTATTTCCCGTCCCTGTGCTCTTCCCCCTGCCCTCTGTCTTCCTTACCCTTCCCCCTGTCATCCTCTCCCTTCCCTCATCCCCTCCCCCACCCCCTTCCTCCCTTCCCTCATCCTTCCCTCGCTCCCCATTCTTCCCCCTCCCCCTCCTTCCCCCATCTTCCCATTCCCCCATTTTTCCCTCCCCCATCCTCCTCTTTCCCCTTCTGCCCTGCTCCTCTTATCCTGTCCTGCATTTCCATCTAGCTTCTTTCCATCCCTTTTCTTCCTCCCTCCATCCTTGTCTTTCCTTCATCTCTCTCTTTTCCTCATCCTCTTTCTTGATTCTGTTACCCTCCAACAATCTCTCCATCCTTCTCCCCTCCCTCTCCACCAGCCTCCCTTCCTCATCAGCATCCTCCTTCCCTCCTCCTCTCCTACTTTTCTCCGCCCTTAGCCCCCGCCCCCAAGACTCCGCCCCTTAGCCCCCGCCCCCAGCTGCCAGTCCCCAGCAGCTCAGTCCTGCAGTGAGTCTTGGGAGCCCATAGCTAAGCACCAGGAGCTGAGCACTGCCCGCTGTGCCTACCTGCAAGTCTCCGACATGGCTCAGGAGAAAATGGAGCTGGACTTTGTGCCTGGTACATCTCATGGGGGCACCCTGAGGAGATCCAACAGTGCTCCCCTGATCCATGGGCTCAGGTGAGCAGAACTGGGGAGGATGGTATATGGGGTTAAGAAGCTTCTTGACCCCATGCAAACAATCTTCCTTCCCTAAAATGCAAGTTTGAGCTCATTTGGGCTGTCCAAACAGAGGGGTTGGGGACTTGTTTGCTTTACAGTGACTGGAGTCCCAAGGTGGAGTGAAAGTTTGACCTCAAACTCTGGGCCTTTTGAGGAAAAATAGCCACCCCCCACCTGGGGGTTGCCCCACTCTAAAAGAAATCACAGAAAGCTTCTGAAAGGTTGCTTGTCCTGGCTAATTTACACCAGGGAAAGTCAGACTGAACCCCTGGAACTAGGCTTGCAACTTGACACCTGTCTCTTAAGAGCTGCTATTTCTAAGCTTGGTTTAGGAACCCTGGCATTAACAGAGGTTTGCTTTAATAAATCACAATTTATCTAATAACTTCTAATTAAATGGTGTATTCATGTCATATTAAGTGATTTGGATTTGTTGAAATCTTTTTCAATTCTAAAACTGCCTGAAATGCATTTCAGTGAATTTTAAAAAAAAGGTTTCTAGTAACTTACATTAGTGAGAATAGAGGTTTGAGAAAATTATGGAAAGAGTCGATCCTTTAGATCCTTTAATTTTAGCGGCAGGGTCTTGTGTGATTTTTTTTTTAATAAGGCACTAGAGGGTCTATTTTTAAAGTAGAATCTTGTGATAGTGAAGGTTGGGTTGGCTCACCTCCTGAGCCTATTGCATTTCACTTTTATAAGTAGACAATTCATCTTAGGTAGAGATCCAATTTATGAGATCCTTTCAAAAAATGGCATTGGTCCAAAAAATGGAATGGGAATACAATTAGCCAAAAACATTAATCAAGCATAGTGAGGGCAAAGAAAGGGGTAATCCTTGTCTATTGAACCGATTATAACATCTGTATTTTGAGGGGGGGGGAAAGAGGTTTACTTTTTTCTTTTATTAAATATAATTTTGAAACTGAAGGAATGATGGAGTGACTTTTTGTTTTATTTTATACTTTTAAGAATAAACTGTTTTTCCGGCTGGGGTTGTGGCTCAGTGGTAAAGCACTTGCCTAGCATGTGTGAAGCACTGGGTTCGATTCTCAGCACCACATGTAAATTAATGAAATAAAGGTCCATCAACAACTAAAAAAATTTAAAAAAAGAATAAGCTGTTTTCTCTTTTGGTTGTCTTTTAAATTCTGGTGATCAAGCAATTGCTAGATACTAGGGGGATCCTACTGACCTGCCTTTAGACATATGTAGGAAAAAACACACTGTTTTTTGAATAATGATTTAAGTACTTGGAAGGTAGCATGTGATGTGATAAAAGAAAAGGTAAGGAGACCAGGCCTGGTCCCAGTTTTTACTAACTAGCCACACTCACAAATGAGTCATTTAACCTTTTTGAGTGTTTTTTTCACTTAAAAATTAGGAGAGTAGAAATAGGCAATCTCAGTGGTCTTTTGAAGCTCATTCCAGTTCTGAAAATCCTTCTTGAACTCATTGTGGGCACAGCACTCTGCTAGGAACTGCAGAGATATTATATTAAAATAAATAAAGCACCTCTACACCAAGAAGTTTAAGACACAAGACACTTTTCTTTTGCAGCACTGGGGAACACATTTTTTTTGGTGGTGCTAGGGATTGAACCTGGGGCTTCACACATTAGGCAAGCATTCTACTACTGACTACATCCCCAGCCCTTTTTAATTTATTTTAGACAGATCTCACTATGTTGCCCTGGCTGGCCTTGAGCTGGCCTTGGGATCCTCCTGCCTCAGCCTGGTCACAGGGATTACAGGTGTGCACTACCCTGACTGGCTAACACTTTAATGAAAGGTAAAGTAGGGGCTGGGAGGCATAGCTCAGTGATGGAGCATCTGCTTAGTGTGCATGCAGGGCTGGGGATGTAGCCCAGTGGTAGTGTGCTTGTCTAACATGCCCAAGGCCCAGGGTTGATCCCCTGCATTGCAAAAAGGAAAAAAAAAGTTTCATTGGGCATGGTGGTGTATGAGCCCAGCAGTTCAAGACCAGCCTGGAGAAACGACCCTCTTTCAAAAAGAGAAGACGGAAAGAGATAAAGTAATGTGGGTGTCAAGAAGTATGTCATCTCCTAGTGTGTTCTTTGGGTTCACAGGAGGTAATGATTGCATTAGGTTTATGGAATGATGTGAGGCTTGTGCCCTGCCTGTATGAGGGCATGGTGTTTGAGGTGGGCATGGAAGGAGAGGAAGGATTCTGACAGATAGTGGTAGGAAGGAGAGCATGTGAGGCAGAAGAGGCCTCCTGAACAAAAAAATAGTGCAGGTACATTTATTTGAACATTGATTCTGAGGTAGGACACTTGCTTTGGGTGGTCGTGGGATATGTGCTGATATGGCTTCTCTTGTAGAACAAGGCTCAATGGCACATGCAGAAAATGGTGGTATTCGTGGTTCTCTGGGATATACAGATGAGCTGCTTCCATCCGAGGGGGGACCTGTTTGGGGGTATAGCTCTGACCAGAAGCAGCTGGAATGAACCAGTCTGTAGCTCCGCCCCACATTGCTCAGAGCTGCCCCCCAACCACTGAGGAGATCAGTATCTTGGCAAACCTGTAATCCCCAGCACACCAGTCAGGCAGCTCTGCCAGGAGGACTGAGGATCCTCTGGAAGAAAGGAGGAACCATTGAATATTTCACTGTGAACTACGGAATTGATGCTAACATATTTGGAAGATCTTTCTCTAGAAGACATTAATTGTTTTATTTTTACTTTTCAGTGACCTTTCACAGGTTTTTCAGCCTTACACATTTAGAACTCGGAGGAATAGCACAACAATTATGAGTCGTCACAGTTTGGTAAGTATCAAAGTAAGTATCGGAAGTGATTTGGATTGGAGACAATACTTCCAAATATAGTTCTTCCTGGAAATTATGTGCTATGCACAATTGGTTTTAGAGATTTATTTTAACTGTCTTGTTTACTACTTTTGCTCTGGCCATTCAGCTTTGGTACAATTGCTGTGGACTTTTGTATTTTAAAAATTTATTTATTGTTATTTATCACTGCTTGCATCACAGTTGTGAGATAAGTCCGGATTAACTTCTAATTATAGCTGAGAATAGTGGTCTTTATTTGTCCTAGGATGTAAAAATCACTTACACAAAGTGTTTGTTTCTGACACTTATCTGTCAGATGATGCTGATTGTGATTGTTCTCTATGGCCAGAGGTGCTGTGTTGGAGATCACCTTATTAGATGGTTGGTCCAGTAGAAATTATAAGGTTTTTGTATGGTAGCACTTCACATATAGAGCTCACTCTTCCATCAGCTTCAGTGCTCTGGAAGACATCTGAGATGTAAGCACACAGACATCTAAATGGCTGAACTAGATTTCCAGTCTGTTCACAAAGGTTCATCGGTTTATTTATAGGAGAGCCTCTCTGACCTCTGAATCATTTAAAATTTATGCACAATTATAATAAGCTTCCAACCCAGTAGCATATGAGAAGCAGCAAATCAGAAGAGTTACATTTGTGTTAAAGGTATACTAATAGCTGCTAGTGAGGGAGGAAAAGGAAAAACTGAAAAACAGAAATTATTAAAAACAAAAGTTTGTGACTTGGCAGAAGGACTAAGAGCCTGTTGATACTCCCTGAGGGTTTCACTTGTATAAAGCAGTATAGTGACGTTCTTAAGGATCCCTGGGTCATTAGCCTTTTCTTAAATTCCAGTAATACCTATGTTTGTATGGTATTTTACACTTTGCAAGGTACTTTCAGGCATTTAATTCTTACAACAACCCCTCTGAAGTAGGCAGAGCAAAAGATGCTTTTGCCAATGAAAAGCAGCAACAGTTAAGACTCAAATCACACAATAGTAAGTGGCAGAGCTGGGATTAGAGTAGAAATCTTTCGGTGTCATTCCATTTGGTGTACTCCGAGAAAGGGGTAAATATAACACATTTTTGAGAGATTTTCAGCTGAAATGGCTCAAAATACTTAAAGGGGGAGATGTTAGCTATCTAGAGATTTGATTCGCTTCACCTCCTTCCCTGAGGATATTAGGAAATTTAAGTATTTTTACTGACTACTTGAGAAATATTTTTACATGTTATACAGCTGTGCACCTGATAAGAGTAGCACAGAAAAGAAGGGGAAAATGAATTTGCCTCTGTACACTTCACTTGCCTCTTTTGTTTTGTTTTTGTGGTGCTGGGGATTGAACCCAAGGCCTTGTGCATGGGAGGCCAGCACTCTACCCACTGAGATGTATCCCCGCCCCGCTTGCCTCTTTTATAAGATGTGCAGATTCTTAACAATTCCGGTCTAGGCTCATCTCTCACACTGACAAATACCCTTTGCTCTGGCTGTCCCCAAATACCTTATTTTCTGAAGAAATTCTGGTGATTCACTGCTTTTGCTTGATCATTTTGCTACTGTATCCTACCCCTCCTTTCTAGCTTTCTGGTCCTTCAGAACCCACTTTAATTCTTATATCTCTTGTGCACAGGCATCCTCAACTATCATGATATCAATTACACTGTATGCATTATATCACAGTATACTCTGTACATTTTTTTAAAGATGGGGGGGGAGAGAGAGAGAGAGAGAATTTTTTAATATTTATTTTTCAGTTTTAGTTTATGTGGTGCTGAGGATCGAACCCAGTGCTCCGCGCATGCCAGACGAGCGTGTTACTCCTTGAGCCACATCCCCAGCCCTCTGTACATTTTTTTTCCAGCTGTAACTCCAGATAGGATCCAAAGAGGAGTTTTGCAATCTCTTGTCTGCGTCATATGGAGGTTTCCTTTACCCTTCTGTGTTAGCCTCTTAAAGCACTGCATCAACCTTGAAAGGGCGATGCTGTGTAAATCTTAATGAACTTCTGTGTGTCCCATAGTAACCTGCAGAGAGTGAAATGTTGGCGAATGACATGGAAAGAAACGGACGGTGAGAGAGGTGGGGAAAAGCAGAGTCTTAATGATTTTAACTGACTGGGTATAAGGGCAGGAAGGAGGACTCCCAAGTGACTGAAATTTTTTTTCGTGACCCTGGGAATGGTAATGAGGAATAGAGAAATTGAAAGAATTGAAGGTTTGGGGGGGAAGCGGATGAATTTCCTTGGGGATATGTGGGGTTTGAGGTGCCACTGGCTCCATGCTGTTCTCCAAAGCCATATTCTAAATCTGTTTGATTTTAGACTGCTGGTGTACTGTCTCACCACTTTCTCTTCTAACTGATGACCCTTCTTACTTTACAGAGAAGACAGTCACGTATCTTGTATAAATGTCAACTTTCTTCTCCTTAAAATGCCTTTATCATCACGTAGGATGCTTTTCCCTGATGGTTCTTACATTTTCTGACTCTCCTGTCACTTCACTATTATCTCCTCTGTCTTGTGCCATCAGTCTTTTCCTCCACTTTCTTCTCCCAACTCACATCTAATATGGGGAAAACAAAATGTTTTCTTTTTGTAGGTCTCTCCTTTCTTTCCCAGGGCTCCTTTTCAAAGCATAATTGACATTCAGCTGCCTGCAGTTCCTTGTCTCCTGATTTATTCTCAATTTGTAATCTTAATACTCCTACCACAACTCTGTTAAAAAAACTGTCCTTGAAAATGTCACCAATGCCCACTTAAGTTGCCAGTGTCCAGCGGTTCATTCCTTATCCCACCTTAGCTCTTTGCTTTCCTTTGCATCATTAGCCAGTACCTCCTTAAATCTCCTGGCTTTTCATTTTCCAACTGATACATTACTCTTGTTTCTGATTCTGGACACAGCTTTGCTGTTCTCTTTCTGGTCCACTGTTCTAGTTCTGTCTAAAATTAACAAGTTATAATGTAGATGTAGCATCTGCATTTCTGACTGGCCACAGTCTGGTTGTCAGCTTTCTTTGGTTCTCTGACTGACATGTGTGTGCTCTTCCACGTTTGCCTGTTAGAGTCTCTCTGCCTTATCTGCTTGCCTAGTAGCTTCGCATTGTTCAGATGACCTTATTAAGTGCTCATCAGTAAATACTTATTACTTTCATAACAGGAAAAAAAGAACTTTTAAAAAGGATTTCACTGGTGAAGTTTTTCTCTTTTCAAAACCTAGGAGAGAAAAAAGAAAGGTATGGTAATGAAGGGATATCATTTGAGGTAAAAATCATATTTCAGTGGATAATACTTGAAAATTTTACTTGAATTAGCTTTTTCCTAAAATAAACATTTTATACCAATCACTACATTCCTATTCAAAAGTTTTAATGGCATAGGACCTCTTAAACAGGATAATTGTTTTATTTGGTTTTGTAGTGTTAAAGATTCACTTGCATTTCTTAGGGAATGAATTACAGTTGTTTACCTTATGGCTATTAAAACTAAGATCTGTTGATATGAATTGTATCTGATATTTTGTGGCCAGATTGTGATTATTTTGAAGGAACATAATTTGGCCCCCAAATCATTTTAGCTTTGTGTTATTAAAAGGGGGAGGATCTAAGGGAAATCAACAGTTATTTTAAAGGTGTACCTTGCATTTCCACAATGCTTTTTCTTTGGTAAGATTTGTGGTGGTAGCATTATTGATTAAATCCCAGCGTTGATTTAGGTCATAGAAGCAAAATCTTACTGTAGTCTTTTTGAGAACATTAATCATAGACAAACTATTACACTGTGCTTGTTAGCCTGTTTTTCTCTGTGTGTACATTGGTAATAAAAAATAACATTGTTTTTTTTCCATTTTCATATGTTCCTTATTTTAGATAAGGGGGGTAATGGATATTTCCATGGTCAAGAGTGTTTTTCCCCTGCATTTATACAGCTCTACACTCATTTGGGAAAAGTGCTAAAGTCAGTGCCTGTCTAGCAACAGATGGTGCTTTGAGGTTGGACACCTGGTGTACTTTCTAAAGACTGAATGTACTGCCTCTAGTGCATTAATGTTCAGGATTTATTAGAGCTGAATTTCTAAGAAGAATATGAAAAATTATCTAGAAAGAGGTTGGTACACCAATAATGACAGCAGACTGCTGCTTTGTGATTCAGAAAATAGTAAATGTTTACTTTTTCTTTCCAGTTGCTGTCATCTTCACCTAATCGTATTCCTAGTAGCAGACTGCTTCAAATCAAAAGGGTAAATTTTACTTACTAGCTCAGATCTGAAGTTTTTTGGATTTTACATTTTGATTTTGATTTTCAAGACTTAAATATTAGCCGGGCGTGGTGGCACACGTCTGTAATCCCAGCGGCTCGGGAGGCTGAGGCAGGAGGATCGCAAGTTCAAAGCCAGCCTCAGCAACTTGGCGAGGCCCTAAGCAATTTAGCGAGACCTTGTCTCAAAAAGGGCTGGGGGTGTGGCTCAGTGGTTAAGCACCTCTGGGTTTAATCCCCGGCACCCCCAAAAAAATAAAAATAAAAAAGAGACTTAAATCTTAAAAATGGGCCAGGATGCAATTCTGGGTAGTTGGAGACAGATTAAAAATTTTCCAAGTTTGCAGATAAAATAGACATGTGGCATGGTTGACAGGCTTAGAACGTTAATTCTGCTCCCTTGTGATTCTGTCAAATGAGGTAGAGAAGTCTTTTGATTTTATTTGAAATAGAGAACGGTGTGGATGAAAATTCTATTTTTTTTTTTACATTTGTCCTTGTAGGAAGAAGGCCTGGATATGATGAATAGAGAAACTGCACATGAGAGGTTAGTGCTTTGAAAGAGCAGGGCCTACTCTGATATGTCTTGTTTGTAAACACTAATGGCTTTGCTTTGTTTGTTTTAGGGAAGTGCAAACTGCAATGCAGATAAGCCAATCATGGGATGAGAGCTTGAGTCTGGTAAAGTTTTCCCATGTTTGCTTGTTTTTTTATTTTTTAAAAATCTTGCTGGGTGTGGTGGTGCATGCCCTGGAGGCTAAGACAGGAAGATAGCAGGTTCAAAGCTAGCCTCAGCAACTTAGCAAGGCTGGAAGCAACCTAGCAAGACCCTGTCTCAAAATAAAAAATAAAAAGGGATGGCGATGTGGCTCGGTGGTTAAATGCCCTTGGGTTCAATCCCTGATACCCTCTCCCCCCACACACACACAAAAAAAAAACTTTATGTGTTGTTCATTGGCTTTGTTAATTTTTTCATATGCCTCTGTCCTTTCTACTTCTAAATTGATAAATTGATTCTTGTTTTTAATCTCTGTTCTCCCAGCAGAGTAATATTGGAGGCCCTACATTTCTATTCTTAAAATGTAAATGTATTATAGTAGTAAATGAGAGCTGTGGTGTCCTGAATTGTTATGAGGAGATAATACTTTATGTTTACAGAGTGATAGTGATTTTGACAAGTCGGAGAAATTATATTCTCCTAAGAGGATTGACTTTACTCCAGTTTCTCCAGCACCTTCACCCACCCGAGGATTTGGAAAGGTAGGATCATTGACAAGATATGAGCTATCTTTTACACAGTGTTTACTCTCTAAAACATATGTATACAAATCATCTCACTTTTAAAGTATCTAATAACTTCAGGGGAAAATCAGTGAAAACCTATGATAGCAATTTCAAAAAAATGTATATATATGTATATTTCACACATAGAGAGCTAAGTAATTTTGAGGACATTATTTCTGTCATTTTCAAAAGAACTTTCTGAAGATTGGAACACTAGAAATATTTTAATATTAAATATATTTTTCTAGCAATGCTTTTCACCATCCCTACAAATGTTTGTGAGTAGCAGTGGGTTGCCACCAAGTCCTGTTCCTAATCCAAGACGGTTTTCCAGGTAAGTGAACTTTCTCCCCAGTATTTTATTGTGGAACTTTTGTAGCATGTAGCAAAACTGAAAGAATTTCACAGAGAATACCCATAAGTGCACCACTATTATTCTGCCACTAACAGTTTACCAGATTCCAATTTTTGATACTCAGTGCTGATTTATATTTAGAGGGGACACACACACACACACACACACACACACACACACACAGAGTTCACCCTTCTTAATTTTTTTTTCCTTTATAAACTTTTCTGTATTTTTTATTGATGCATTATAGTTATACCTAATGATGGGATTTATTGTTATACATTCACACATGTACACAATATAACACTGTAATTTGGCCAGTATCACTCCCTAGCTTTTTTTTTTGTGGGGAGCGGGTACTGAGGATTGAACCCAGGGCTACTTAACCACTGAGCCAATCCCCAGCCCTGTTTTGTTTTTTATTTAGAGACAGGGTTTCACTGAGTTACTTAGTGCCTTGCCATTCCTGAGGCTGGCTTTCAACTCATAATCCTCCTGCCTCAACCTCCCAAGCCACTGGGATTACAGGCATGCACCACTGCGCCCAGCTTAATTTATCCTTTTTTTTAGGGAAAAAAAATTAAGATTATAGACCAGTAATGGCACATGCCTATAATCCCAGCTACTCAAGAAGCTAATGAGGCAGGAATGTAATAATGGTCCACCTGTGCTTTTTTAAAAATTTTTTTTTAGTTGTCAGTGAACCTTTATTATTTTATTTATTTTTATGTAGTGCTGAGAATTGAACCCAGTGCCTCACACATGCTAGGCAAGGGCTCTACCTACCACTGAGCCACAACCCCAGCCCCCACCTTATGCTTTGAATATGGTCCTTGCTGCTCTGCCACTGAGGCTTATTTTTAAATGGACATGTTTTTCTTTCTTTTTTGGTACCAGGATTGAACTCAGGGGCACTGAACCAGTGAGCAACATCCCCAGCCCTTTTTTATATTTTATTTAGAGACAGGGTCTCGCTGAGTTGCTTAGTGGTTTCCTAAGTTGCCGAGGCTGGCTTTGAACTCAGCTTTCTGATTACAGATGTTCCCCAGGCCATGTTTTTCTCTTCTTCTTTTCCCTTTCCCTCTCCCTGACCTAGCATGTGTGAGGTCTTGAATTCAGTCCTTAGTATCTCTCTCTCTCTCTCTCTCACACACACACACACACACACAAACAAACAAGTTTGTCAGAAACTAAATAACTTTTTAAATAATGTTTCTTTTTTGTTAAGCTGTTATGGGTGTTTTGTGCTCTGGAATTAATTTTAAAAAATGGCTTAAGGGCTGGGGATGTGGCTCAAGCGGTAACATGCTCACCTGGCATGCGCGGGGCGCTGGGTTCGATCCTCAGCACCACATAAAAATAAAATAAAGATGTTGTGTCCACTGAAAACTGAAAAATAAATATTAAAAAATTTTTTAAAAAGGCTTAAAATGCTGTCATTCCAGATTGCATGTTCTGGATCAAATCATGTATTGACATTTCAGTTATTCAGTCTAGTGACAAAAGCACTTTCCATTTCTACCTACATGACTGCCAATTTTGCTTGCTTATTTGATGAGCTATAATACTGTTTATCTTGCATCTGTTAGAAGAACTTCACCTTATTCTGTTTGCTTATTCATCAAAGCAGGAGGAGTCAGAGTCCAGTCAAGTGCATTAGGCCCAGTGTTCTTGGTCCTCTTAAAAGAAAAGGTATGTAGCAATATAGTGACAGTGGTTGAAAATACTGTATATGTATTTATAACTGCAAAGAGAGTGGCTCTTAAATGTTCTTAAAAACTTACAAAAGGTAAGTAAGTGAAGTGATAGAGGTAACTGACTTGATTGAATTATTAACTGCCTTATTTCACAATAAGTACATGTCAAATCATCAGATTTCATAATTTTAATATATGCAATTTTATTTGGCAATTATACCTCAATAAACCTGGGGGGGAAAGAAGGGATGTATCACATTTCTAGTATTAAAGTCATCCACGCCTAAATTAAAAACTGGAATTCTTATCTGAAGTGAGCTCACAGCATTGCTCTCCTTTTTTTCTAAAGAAATGTCAAGTATTCCCACTGTACACTTGGTCTACTGAGAGTAAATTTTGTAAATTAGCTATTTGATACTGTTTATATTTTCTTACACTTCCAATCTGAATTTTATTCATATGTTTATGGTATATATTCCAAAAATATTGCCTCTCAGTGATCTGAATGTAAAAGAGATGCATTGTGGAAGTATGATAATGTCATAGCAAATATATCTGTAAAAATGCTATATGCTCAAATGTAAGGTGAGATCCACCCCCGTCACCATATTATATATACCTCAGCAAAGCAAGAATTGCCATATATTCAGGTCTATAGAGTTTTCCATGTAATTGGGTACTCTCTTTAATTACCTTATTTTCAGTCATGAAGCACTAAAGTGGTGTCAATCAATACTAATTTTAGATGCATGTATAAGGCACCTGAAGGCAGGCATATTTTTTGTTTTTTAAATTTTTGTTACTTGGGATGGAACCCAGGGGCACTTAACCATTGAGCCACATCCCCAGCACTTTTTAATATTTTATTTAGAGACAGGGTCTCACTAAGTTGCTGAGGCTGACCTTGAACTCATGATCCTCCTGCCTCAGCCACCAGCCCCAACCCATCTTTTTTTAAACAAAGGCAAATTTAACAGGCATCATCCATTAATCCTGGGGATATGAGCATGTGATTGTAAATATCAGATGGCATTTTAAAGAAGAGTTTTCACAAGGGCTTTTGAAAAGCAATTGATTAAGGGCTGGGGTTGTGGCTCAGTGGTAGAGTGCTTGCCTAGCATACATGAGGCACTGGGTTCCATCTTCAGCACCACATAAAAATAAATAAATAAAATAAAGGTATTATGTCCATCTACAACAACAAAATTTTAAAAAGCAATTGATTAAGTAGTTCTTTGTGGAAATTATTCTTCATGGCCAATGAACAAATCAATTCTACTTATATTGGGGAACTGATACTTGGGGTTTGGTGAAATCTTTCCAGCCATAGGGTCACACACAGATGCAAAAAGTACTATATTTGAGACAACTTAAAACTAAAGATGATGTGATATAGAAAATAGATCCTTATATGGTGATAATATTTATATTTAACAAATACGTTTTATAAACAGTCTTTAATCTTACAAGAGTGATGTACAATTCTAGGAACATTCTCAGGCAATTAAGTAGAAATGATACTTGAAAATAAAACTATGATTATTAACTTAAATTTTGTTGCAGGAAGTTAATGGATTACTATGGTTGTCAGTTTTGTAGCTATTCCAAGATAAACCAGCAGATGGAGGGATTCTTTGCAAAATAGGGTTGAAGTTTTGTGCTAGTAAAGTGAAGTTGAAAGCCCCAGCATTTTTTTTTTTTAAAGCTACATGTTAAAACATGGGGGAGGGGTGGAGAAATAAAAATATTAACTTTCTGAATTTTAATAATTTTCAGAATAGTTCTAGAGGAAGGATAACATGAATTGATGGAAAATACGGAAAAAGTGAATGTTCGATTTGTTTTTCTTCATAAAAATCTTGTACAGTTTTAAGTTCAAAACTTAAGTTCATTATTAAATTTACTTATTTCCTACTGGGTTTATAGATAGCACCATGAATTAAAATGTCTATAACATTTCATTTTCAAACCGGGGCTGGGAATGTAGCTCAGTCATAGAGTGCTTACCTAATATGTGCCAAGCCCTGGGTTCCATCCCCCACACCATGGAAAGAAAAGGTGGGGACAGATGCAATGCAGTTAGCCACCTGTAATCCCAGCTATTCCGGAAGCTTGCAAATTCAAGGCCAGCCTTGGCAATTTAGTGAGACTCTGCCTCAAAATAAAAAAAATAAATAAAAGGGACTGGGTGGTAAAGTGCCCCTGGGTTCAGTCCCTAGTACCAAAAAAATAAAATGTCATTTTCAAAGAAGTGCATGTTTTAAATGAAAGCACACCTTTTTTGAAAAGGGGCATTTTCTGCCTGATTCAGAGTTGTAAGACAACCCTACTACTTGGTGGCAAAATGTTTAGCATTATTTCTTTTGGTGCCAAGTTTTACTGTTATCATTTCTGAAAACATCTATAGGATTAATTTAGCGTTACGATACCAAATTTGAGAACTGAAAAATAGTTGCTTTTAATTGCACATGTACTTTAAAACTTGTATTTTTAAAATATTTTTAGTTATAGGTAGACATGATACCTTTATTTTGTTTATTTAATTTTTTCAATGTGGTGCTAGGGATTGAACCCAGTGCCTCATGTGTGCTAGGCAAGTGCTCTACTATTGAGCCCAGCCCTCAAACTTGTATTTTTAAATCTTAATTTTCATTAAATAGTGTAAAGCAAACTTTTACTTCCACGCTACTTACCGACAATACATTTTTAACCCATTTATTGTCATCTCAGGAAATGTTCAGATATTAAAACGTAAATAATCTTTGCTGGAATGGGTTTGTGTCTCAGTGGTAGAATTCTTGCCTAGCAAGTGTGAGGCGCCCTGGGTTTGATCCTCAGCACTACATAAAAATAAGTAAAATAAAGGTAAAAAATTGTTTAAAAAATAATCTTTGCTAACCATCTAGCATAAATTATTCATTGTGAGCTTTTTTTCTGTTTGGTAATGCTTTAGTTCAGCTATTATTTAGCTTTGGTTCATTTTGCCTGATGTAATCTGTGTTCTCTTCTTCTATTAAAGAACATGAATATATTCATAACATGTTATGAATAAGAAATTCTTTTAAAGCTGTTCTTTTTTTTTTTTTTGAGTACTGCGCATTGAACTCAGGGGCACTCAACCATTGAACCACATCCCCAGCCCTATTTTGTATTTTATTTAGAGATAGGGTCTCACTGAGTTGCTTAGCGCCTCACCTTTGCTGAGGCTGGCTTTGAACTCCATGATCCTCCAGGCTCAGCCTCCTGAGCCCCTGGGATTACAGGCATGTGCCATCGTGCCTGGCTAAGGCTGTTCACTTTTTGCTTGAGGTTATGTGGAAGCATATTTCTTCTATATTAAAGCACATGGAAATAATTTAAGTAGTAATTCAAAGAAGCATTCTGAGCTTTGGTTAAATAAAGATCACCTGATTTTCACACCAATTTTTTTTTTTTTTTGTAGATGGACATAATACCTTTTTTTTTTTTTTAATGTGGTGCTAAGGATCAAACCTAGTGCCTCACACATGCTAGGCAAGCGCTCTGCCACTGAGCTACAACCCCAGCCCACTAATCTTATATTTATAAAATTGCATTAAAGTCACATTATCTCTTTCCATTTTAGGTGAGATGGAAACAGAAAGCCAGCCCAAGAGATTCTTCCAGGGCACAACCAACATGCTGTCTCCGGATGCTGCACAGCTGTCTGATCTCAGTTCATGGTAAAAAAAAAGAAAGAAAGAAAATCAAAAGGATATTAGGGTTTGATCCCTTTTAAAAAAATATTTATATTTTAGTTGTAGTTGGACACAATACTATTATTTAATTTATTTATTTTTATGTGGTGCTGAGGATCGAACCCAGTGCCTTGCATGTGCTAGGTGAGCATTCTACCACTGAGCCCCAGCCCCAGCCCCCAGGGTTTGATTCATTTTTAAAAGAGCCACATTGAAAGTATATTGGGATAACTTAAAATATATTCAGCTTCTAGTCTATGCTTCCTTAGAGGAGTCTCTGTACAGTTTAGATAATTTTGAATATCCCAGATCATTTGAAAGGTATGAATACTTCCTTTGGATACAGCTTCAGTTTCATTCCTAGCTCCTATTAGGTCAGCCTCTCAATAGGTGGAATGGTTTAGTAGAGTGTGAACAACTGTCTGGTGTGAGAAAGTCACAGGCTTATCGTGGGTATTGTACATTGATTGGAGCTTCTATGTTGGCATTTCATATTATATCCTTTCAACTTAGCAGAGAATACCCGCATTCTCTTAGACATTGCATTCTCTAAATACCATGATGTGTGGTATTTAGATTGATGTTTTTGGAAAATTCAGGGTATTTCATTGTAATGTGAACTAAGGTTTCATTTTTTATGGTAATACTTCCTGATTCTTATGGTCCAGTCATACAACTGGTATCATCTTAGTTTAGTTGTGTAACTTTAGGGCCTTTCTGTTTTTGTGGGAAAGTTAACTTCTTTTCCTATATCTGAAGTTGAACTGAGAATTTACATGCAGAAATACATATGGGGGAAAAGGAAGGGAAGAGACAGCAGTAACCAGGTAATATCTATCTGGAAATCTTTGAGTATTCCTCAGTCAACTTGCTGAGTACTCGTATCCAAGACTACAGTTGCTTAATGACTTTCAGAACTTTGTTTCCTGAGTTTTATGGCTGAGTGGTTTTTTTTTTTAAAGGCACTCACTTTAAAAATAAGAGGGTATTCTCTCAATGGAGGAAGTATTGATAATTTCTTCCCAAATCAACTTACTCATTGTTTTGTGTAAGATAACCTATACTTCTAGTGGTCTAAGAAGTCATAGATGATTATTATTGCTTATTAGACTCATAGATCAATACTGCCTTTAGATTTTTCTAGCTATTCAGCCCCATAGTCTCTCCCACCCCCCACATCTCTGTGTCCTTGATTGCTCAGTGTGCTAATTTTGGTACAGAGTGCCTTTCCATGGACGTAGATGATTGCAAAGAGCAATGCCTAAAGCTTGTCAAGAGGACTAGCAGATGAAACTCTATACTTAGTGCAAACTGCATACTACTTTTATGGTAAAGTCAGTTTGAATATAGGCACATGAGTAGAAATAGGTTTGCTTATCCAGTTAGTAACTAAGTGACTAGGATGACAGCATTTTACCAAACTAAAAACATGCAGGGTAGGGGGTTGGGGCTTTAGCTCAGTGGCAGAGCATGGGGTCAGCATGTGCAAGGCTCTGGGTTCAACCCCCAGCACACACACACACACACACACACACACAAATAGAAGATGAGGATATTTATTTTGATATCATCTTAGGTTGACTGCCAAATGTTAGAAAACTGGTTCACGCCATTAAGAAAGGAAAGAGAAAGCACGTTATTTATACCAAGGGTCCTTGCTTCTCATCCAGGCATTTATTCCTTTGAGCAGCACACCCTTAGTCATGTATGGCAGTGGCTATTGTGAGACTTCAGTTTCTGGTTTTGGTACTTCCATACCCACGAGTAGAACTATGAGTGTCTATGAGAGCCTTGGGAACATTGTCATTGATGATAAAGGGAAAGATTTGGCTTTTGAGCACAAAAGGCAGTTGCCTTACGCAGGAGAGATTTGCCATATTCATGACCACTCCTAGAGTGCTAACAGATGGCTCAAGTAATCTGTGATAATGAAATTTATTCCTTATCTGGCATGGTGATGCACACCTATAATCCCAGCTACTCGGAGGCTGTGACAGGAAGATGGTCAGTTTGAAGCCAGCCTTCGCCATTTAGCGAGGCCCTAAGCAACATAGCAGGACCCTATTTCCAAATAAAGTAAAAAGGGCTAGGGATGTGACACAGTGGTAACGTCTCCTGGGTTCAATTTCTGGTACCCCTCCTCCCCAAAATTAAAAGGCTGAGGCAGGAGGATGGCTTGAGCCCATGAGTAAGAGACCAGCCAGGACAACATAGCCAGACTCCATCTTAAAAAAAAAAAAAAAAGAATAGTTAAGTAAGTCATGAACTAAACTTTCAAATTATGCTTTTAGTCATTAATAAGTCCAAATTAGCTGGTGGCACATGCCTGTTATTTCCGCAGCTTGGTAGGCTGAGGCAGGAGGATCACGAGTTCAAAGACAGCCTCAGCAACTCAGCGAGACCCTGTCTCTTAATAAAATACAAAAAAGGGCTGGGGATGTGGTTCAGTAGTTAGGTGTCCCTGGGTTCAATCTTCAGTACCAAACAACAACAAGAAAATTAGTCAAAATTAGTGTTTAGCATCTGTACTCTGAGGTTACTAAAACTTAAAATTGTACCAAGACTTTTGGGACACCTTATATTCTGATGATGACACTGGTGTCCATGATGAAGAAAGTTTAAATATGAGTTACTCTCTTTATGGACAATATGGATCCCACTTTTGCAGAAACATTTCTTCCAAAGGTGGTTTCATTGATTAAAATCACACATCTGTAATTTTAGGAATAAAGACAGAGATAGGAACCAGTTGCATCCTGGCTCATATTGCCAAGGGTGACAGTCTTATATTTTTTAGTTGTTGATGGACCTTTATTTTATTCATTTAATATAATCAATGGTGCTGAGAATCAAACTTAGTGCCTCACACATGTGAGGCAAGTGCTGTACCACTGAGCCACAACCCCAGCCCAGGCATCAATTCTTATACTGCCTTTTAAAGAGCAGATAGTAGATACTGCCTTTTAAGGAGCAGATAGTAGATGAGATAACTACTAATGATGATAAGTACATCATTAGTAGTTATCTCATCATTTTATTCTTTATAGTTTGTTGCTGCCCCACCCAACAAAGAAAGGAAAAAGATTGGTTTTTACAATCTTTAAAGTTTATGTACTAGATGGTAGTCTTTAAAAATCTGACATCTTTGAAGTATAAATTAAATTTGAGTAGGGATTTCTGTCCAGTTAAGCATAGTTTTTATTTTTTATAAACTAAATAAAAATTCTGAAGTCATTGCCAACTGAATCTGGGGAACATCATTAACCACAAGGTAGGAATTATGTCATTTCTCATTTAGTCCTTGTGAGCATCAAGTGTTTGAGTATAACTCAGAAGTATATCTTTGTATGGTTCTTGATTCTTTTTGCATGTTGGGAATTCTTTCTGTGGTTCTTGCTTCATTATGAGCAGGACCAGTATCTGCAATATGCTATATTGAATAAAGGCATTTTCAGGGCTTCTGGCCTTTCTATGAAGATTAAGTGATAGTCTATTTCTCCTACATAAAAGGAAACATTCTCCCATGAATTTTCTTGCCTAGTGCATTAGTATTAATGAGTTTATTTTAACATTTTGCCTGAAATTTGTCTCAGTGATTCTAACATAATTTTTAATGTTATATATGTCATGGTAAAAAAATAAATATCTTTTTGACAAAAAGAAATATGACAAAAATAAATATTAATCATATATTTTATAAAATTAATTTATATGATTAATATTTAGAATGTATATATAGACTTTAGAGATGTTTATATGAAATACTCAGACGTGTGTATAGATACTTTTAAATTCCTGTCCCCAAGGTAAAGGAAAATGGTCATATTTAAATATGTAATCCTATTTGGCAAGATAATACTGGGTCCCGCTAAGGCAAGATTATAGAGCCTGAGATCTGTATGTATCAGTTCAGTAGTTCAGTTCATACCATGGGGTTGGGGATGCCCTGTATGTAGTCTTACCTTATACCAAAGTCTCACTAGGCTAGATAGGACTGTGACTGATTGCTATTGCATTTACCTGCCTGTCATTAATCTTGATAGAACCTAGCTTTTTTTTTTTTTTTTTTTTTTTTGGTACTAGGGATTGAATTCAGGGGGACTCTACCACTGAGCCACATGCCCAGATTTATTTTATATTTTATTTAGAGATAGGGTCTCACTGAGTTGCTTATTAGTGCCTCACTTTTGCTGAGGCTGGCTTTTTGAACTAGTGATCCTCTTGCCTCAGCCTCCTGAGCCGCTGGGATTACGGGTGAGGGCCACCAAGCCTGGCTCAGAAGCTAATTTATTGACTGGATGAGTCTCTGTGCCTCGCCCAGTTGGGGAGATAACATGAGTCACATTGGATATCCTAGTTTTGTTGTTGTTTTCTCCTTTGACTATTTTAATGATTCACTTATACTTTCACCCATAGTTTTTAGACAGGGTACTTCTTTCACAGTCATGGTACTCTCAGTTTTGTGGTTCCAATATTGTCTCGATAATGTATATTCAGTGGCTGCAGTGAATTAGTTCACTTTTGATTCAGGTATTCCTCTGTACAAAATAAATTGTATAGGTCAGGTATTCCTCTGTACAAAATAAATTGTATAGGTCCTTTGCTTTTCTATCATTGTATGGTCTTTGGCCATTAGTGGAAGTAAAGCTCATTAGCACCTTCCTCAGAGCTTAAGTGAAAAAAGAAGAAAAATTCAAATTAGACCAGACTATGCTGTTTTTAGAAGCTCTGATATAAGCTTTAATAATGATCACTGTGAAAATTACTTTTGTACGGTGATTTCTCTGTGGATACAAAAGTTGTATAAGTCTTGCTTTACACGGATATAACAGTTGGTGATTTGTGACCTGTATCATTTCTGCTTCCATGACTATGTATAGTCATGCCAGATTTATTAGGACAGAAATTAGATTGTATGTTTAGCAAAAGTACCTAGCTAAAACTTCACCAACTTCTGAATCTAAATTGCAGTGGAAACTAAAATGTAAGTGTGCTGTTTTTCTCTTAATGAACCAGATTACATACATTTTTATGTAATAATAGAGAAGAAATCCTGAAATAAAAAGTTGAGCTTTTAAAAAAAATTTTCCTGGTAACTTCTCCATGTGTTTATTTCTCTTAAGGTAATCAACAGTGTTAGAAAAATTCCACTGCCTGTGTCATATTATACATTTCTGAATTAATAGTGGATTCACCCAAGCAAGCAAGTTCTAGTACAAATGGATCTTTTAACCCAGGGCTCACCATAAGTCTAGTGGTTGGAATAAGGAATTCTTTATTTATATTCAGATTATGTGCATGGTGGCCAAATTTTAATCTAAGCCTGTTTTCTTCCTGCCAACTAGCATAGAGCGTGTCCTTCGGCTGCCCAGCCAATATGTGCTTTAAGAAAGTAAATTCATTTTAATATTAGTCTAGGCAAAAAGCTGCAGGAGGAAAAATTACATATGTTCCAAAGGAAAATAGAAAGGTCTTTTTGATTTTCCAATGTCCTGGATTATCTGTGCCACTTTCTTTCAGTAGTTTGAATAATTCATATTTTAGACCTATTTTGCCATTTGGTTGAACAAATATCAGGGCCAGCTAAATTTTCCGAACTTCTTACTTAAAAGTGGAATTATTAATGAGGCATTTGACAGCTGTGAGCATAGTGTAGGAGTAGTGTGGAGTATACTGTTTCCATTTTTATTTTTACTTCTCCAAAGCCTATTTGTAGTCTGTCTCCACCTAAAATCACTCCATAGGCAAGAAAAGGAAATGATATTTGGGGGCTGGAGGTGTAGCTCACTAGTAGAGCACTTGCTTAGCATGCTTCAAGACCAGGGTTCCACCCTGAGCACTGACAAGGAAAAAAAAGGGGAGGGGGATTGAACATAGGAGTGCTTTACCATTGAGCCACATCCAAGTCTGTTTTTTTTTTTTTTTTTTTAATTTTTTTAAGACTAGAGTGTCACTAATTGCTGAGGCTCATCTCAAACTTGGAATCCTCCTGTCTCGGCCTGTAGAGTTGGTGGAATTATAGGAATATACCATAGTGCACAGTAAGAAATGACATTTTAAAAACAGAAGAGTGAGAAGTGGGGGACAGGGGTAGATTACATTTCATTGAGTGTAATATATGGCCCAGAGACATCCAAATGCAGCATAGCTTTAACTTGGAAATTCATAAAAATAATATTAAAAGACTCAGTGCCTCTTAGGTCAGAATAGGTTCTCACAAATGAGCTAGCGGCCAAACTTCAAATTAGAACCCATATTTCCTGATTCATAACTCATTCTACAATAATATACTTTTTTCCCTTTCAAAAAATAAAAAATATGACTGTGTAAATTCTGTTTTTTGGAACTGAGGATATTGAATCCAGGGCGCTTAATTTATGAGCCGTATCCCCAGGTCCCCCTGCCCCCCAACTTATTGGTGGTTCTGGGGATCGAACCCAGGGACTTGTGCATGCAAGACAAACACTCTACCAAATGAGGTACATCCCCAATTCTCCCTCCACCAGCCCTTTTTAATTTTTACTTTGAGACAGGGTCTCTCTAAGTTGCTTAAAGCCTTGCTAAGTTTCTGAGACTGGCTTTGAACTTGCGATCATCCTACCTTAGCCTCCCGAGCTTGTGCTACTGTGACCAGCTATGTAAATTCTTAAGCTGCCTAACCTCTCCAGCTTTGTCTCTCAATGTGTTCTCTTTATTCCCCATACTACAACCACACTAGCCTGCTTTTGATTCCTATAACTACCCTTGCTTCTTCACAAACCTTGCTTAGTTCATTCCTGTTCGTCTTTCAGATTATACTGCAAATATCACCTCTGTGCAGCCTTTCCCAGTTCCTCCGGGTTAGATTAGGTTATCCATATGTTGAGCACTCATAGGCCCTTGTATCTTGCTTTGAGTAGCTGTATGTCAAATGATAATTATATATTTATTAGCATGATTACTTAAATGTTTGTCTCCTAAATTCAGTG